TGTCCCATGTTTGGTGCACCCTTGCAAAGTCCAAACGGGCGATTTTGTGGCGTTGAAGAAGACGTGGCCTTTGAAGACGTTTTTTGTTTCTGAAGCCCTTCTCTCGCAGATGCCGTCTGATGGTTATTGGGCTGCACCAGTAATGGCCTTAATTTGGGTAGAGGATCGTCCCGTGTCTTGACGGACAGCCAATCGTATCCTGCGGCTCAGAGCTGGTGAAATTTTTTTGACAGACAGCCAATCGGATCCTGCGGCTCAGAGCTGGTGAAATTTTTTTGGGTCTACCACTTGACTTTTTTGTTCCATAACCCTCAGGATCATTTAAAAAATGTAAAATGACTGTCTTACWGCGTCCAACTTCAGCAGCGATGGCACGTTGTGAGAGGCCTTGCTTATGCAGCTCAACAATCCTACCACGTTMAAAGTCRGTGAGCTTTTTTACTTTTGCCATCAGGAGGTCTTGACAGTGTAAAGACTTGACAGAAAATGACATGGTCCAGATTTTTGCACAKATTTTTGTTTTTAAAGACTATGGTCTTAAACTTTTGATCAGCTGAAAACATCATGTTTGAGTGTAAATGCAGTTTTCAGAAACTTCCCTGCTCTAAAGTTCTTCTCTCTTGCACTGATTTCTTCTTTTAACATTGTGAAGCTCTACTTAGAGCCTTCTTAAGATCCAATAGTGCAAAATGCAAATTCTTGCACTTTTTTGACTGGTCTTAAAATTTTGATCAGGAGTGTATTTTATTTACTTTTACTAGTTTCTCTGCTTCAACTGATTTGAATGAATGGGTGATTAAAGCTGTATAACTTTACAAAATAAATGGCTGACATGGCAGCAGAAAACATCCTTACAGACTGGAAAATGAACAGGAAGATAAATAGTAACTGTTGCACTGGGAGGAACTGAGGACAGAATACAGAATAATGAGCTGGAGGAGACACAAAGAGCAGAGAACAAGCAGGACAGGAGAGAGAAAAACAAGAGATCACCAAAAACAGACAGAGGAACAGAATTTACACAGAAAGACAAAGAATGTGACAAAACTTGTTCCAATCAAGACAAAAAGCTGATGCTTATCAACTTATTTATTGCAGAATTAAAATAAATAAGTTTACATAATTTTTAGTTGTTTTGGAGCTTTGTTTTTATGACAGAAGTCTTTAGCCAAAATAAGTTAAAAAAAATCTAACTACTGTCTGTTCTTTAAGGTTTTCCCTGCAGATTTTTAGAAATATGCAAATGTTTCTGTTTTTATTTGCTGCAGGAACTTTTTATTTTCTTTCACAAAACAGATCGTGTTGTTGCTGAATGAGGGGGGGATTTACAGGGCCCCCCTAAGATTGATGGGGCCCTTAATTGAATGTGAGTCCGGACCCAGTTGCTTGAGTTGTGGTTGTTTGTTCCAATCAGCCGCACTTTGTTTTTCTTACAGAAACGAGAGAAGCAGTGAGCCACTCTGAATGCTCTTTTAACCCTTTTTTTTTTCTTCTTTTGGTTTGTGGAAATGTGGATTTCCAGGCTCGGTGTTTGCCACCAGATGACGCTCCTTCTCCGCACTGAGAAAGGAACTAAACTGATGTGAGGACCAACCAGAGCTGCTGTCAGCAGAGAGACAGGATCTGTGATCTGCAGGTGTTTTCACTCACACTGAGCCTGCAGAGTTGGACGCGTCACAGGTGCTTTTATTTTTTTATTTCAGGCTTAAAGTCTGAGTTTGAAAACAAAATAATGTACCTGATCCGTTCTGCTTCCATATGTTGTTCTCATCTTTCTTATAATTACTTCATTAAAGCACATAAGAGGCTACAGGTGAGTCTGAAAAGAAATTATTTTTGATTTGGGGACATTCCCTCCTCACCAGAGGCAGCTCTTCCACATGTGTGCGCAGTTCATTATTTGTAGACCTTTGACACCGCCTGTGTTTGGGGCCGAGAATTAAAAAGGCGGATTCCTGAAAAAAAAAGAAAAAAAAAAAGAAAAAAAAAAAGAGGCGAGCAGGGTGCAGTGCGCGCGTTGAATATTCAATTAGAGACGGAGGGGACTGAAGGGAAAGTGAAGCTGCGTGCCAGTCCTTCATCTTAAACTACTGATTAGCTGTTAAACAGATTATTTACAGCTGAGTGGGTTCAAATGTTGCAGCCGAAAAACAGCCGGAGTTCAAGGCGATGACAGCGAGCGCGTTTCCGTCCCAGCAAACAAAACCGCTTCCAGAAGAGGCCAGACTGGCTGCTCTGTGTTTCTAACAACCATTTTATACAATTTAAACTGTTTCCACTCTGTTGATCCAAGCCGAGCTGGTCATTTGAAGCTGCTAAACAGGCCCCAAAACTGGGCTGTTTGGCATGATTCCAAATATTTATGCAAAATTTCCATTATATATATTTTTTTGCCACATTAAGTTCAAAACACGACTTTTAAAAAAAAAAAGTTTCCTCGAGTAAACTCATTATTTCAGAGAGTGTTGAAAAACAGCTTTGCGCAAATATTTTAACTGGAAATAAAACACACACAAAAATAAAATAAAAAGACATATTATGTCACCACTAAGTTTTTTATTTTTATTTTTTTTTATCTATAAATGATCTTCTTAAGATAAAAATTGAATTTCCAAGCGTGGCTGAAAATCTGAGGCAGCACCTCCTTTCCTCTCTTTTTTTTTCTCTTTTTAATAAATAAATGCTAAAGTTGTTTATTTGTATAAGTTTATCAAATGTTTTGTTAAAGTTTGCCTTGTTAAGTATACAGCTCCCTTTTTATTCAAGCAGGATAAGTTTTAAAGTAGCTGAATGTGCAGCAAGCCACGCGGGTCCAAAGAGCTCTCATTGACAAGCCACGTGTCCGTTTCCAAAGCCTCTCCAACTTAACCACCTCCTTTGTACCACTAACCCACATCAGCAGCGTCCCTCCACATAAAGGGATTTGCAATTTCAAGATATTTCAGCTTAAATGTTTTTGACAGTTCCCTCGCTTTTACTCCGGCTTGGTTATTTTAACTGTGCCAAATGGGTCACCTTGGGTTGCTGTCTGCGCGCAAAGGGGCTTTTGCGCGCATTCAGCCTGAATTTTTTCCAACTTTCCTTGACGGGGAAACCAGCTGCTGGTCGTGAAAAGACGGCTTATTAATTGTCCTTTGTCATGCAGAATTGCTTGATTTCTAAAGAAACGTACAAAGGCTCTTTTTCAGGATTCAAGTATTTTGTTTCGTGCGTATTTTCAAACCATCGAATCAGCTGCAGCGCCTTGCCGTCTACCAGACTCTCAGGTACTGACTGCCTGCTCCCCTTTTGTCCCCTTTTAATGCTGTTGTAAATCGTGCAGACTGATTTGTTACAAGCTGTTCTTTTAATCTGATAGATAAGAGACATGTCAAAGAAAAGCCGTAAATAAAAAATTAGCCGGAATAAAGACAAGGGCGAGTCTGCTAGATGGGCGCCTGTTGACTCAAGCGGCTCTCCAGCGTCAGGGGAGCCCTCTCCTCTCAGCTCTGTCAAGGTTACGTCCACAATTCCCCTTTTCTTCTTTCTTTTTAAAAAGACACCGTGGTCCCCCCCTTTTTTTTACTTCAATGAATTGATCGGCACAAAATTAAGAATAAATAAATTGAGCATTTGGAAAGAGCGAGCGTATAAGCTCCCCCAGGGCGCATACCCCCGGGGCTATTGAATGGATAAAGGGCGCGCTTTGCAGAKGACGTGGTGAGCAAAATGGGGCTCTATGGTGCAATTAAAAAATAGTCTAATCCCATATCTTAACAAATGCAAATACTGAAGTTTTGTTAAAATGTTTAAGTGAACAATTACAGGGGGGTTTGCTGCAAACCTCACATCCACGAAGGGCGCACTGACTCAGATTAAGTTCTCTGCGCAGTTTAAGAACACATTTTCCTGCCTTAAAAAACATTTGAGGTACGTTTATATAAAAGCCAACATAATTTAAAGCTTACTTTCATAATAAATCTATTTATATCTGACGAAGTTCCGATGAGAGAGCACCTGCAGCTGTGCGTAAAACACTCCAACCGAAAAGACGCGCTCGTTTTATTTATATTTATATGCTGCAATAAACAATATATTTTTGAGCTTTTCTATTAATTTTCTTTGATTTTTTTTTTGTTATGACCAAAATAAGCTTCTATTAAAGTTATAAATGTAATAAATTTGTGTGTGTTTTAGATTTGGCAAGTGTTATTTTTTTATGCTTTAAATGTATTTGTAAAAATATTATTGCAGGCTAAAATTTGTATTTGTATCCTGTTAATGTTTAAAAATAACATACTACAATTTAATATGTTTAGTGCTTAATAAATACACGTGAAGCTCATAAACCCTCCAATAAACTGCTGCGCTGACAATAGTGGAACAATCTGGGTCGTCGACACCAAACTGTGTTCTTTGCTCATTTATTTTCATGTCAGATCGATATCTTAAGATATGCACTCTCCTGGCGCATCATTATACACTGACAGAGATTATTATTATTAACTCGGTCACACGAGACAGATCATTTCAGCTGGTGGGAAAGGCTGAAAAGAGTTTAAAGACAAAAAGGGCAGGGGCAGGGATATCTGRGCTGATTTTCCCCCGGGAAAAGTCCAACAAGAAGACCCTCACAACAAAGCCTTTTTTTCCCTTTTTTGGTCGTTCCCATGTGATAGAGATTATTAAGAATTTTATTTATTAGTTCAAATCTCCTTTGAGATACAAAGACCGTTTAATGCTCTTGCTGTACGCGGAGCAGTTTGGGAAACCTCCCCCAAAATGTGAAAACTAATTTTGTTTTTATCACTTTTGTTGTCTGAATTCATTAAAATCCTTGGAGCTTCAGCTTTATGTGAAAAAAAATTAAAAAAATATTTTATTTCGGCTTAAAATTGAGCCAAATGTGCCTGGGAGGAGAACGGCAGCGCGGAGAAGTCGCGCGTTTTTAACACTGCATCTGTGTAAAAAAAAAAAACGTATAATTTTTTTCTAATGCAATCAAATAAATATTAGAAGAAACCTGTCTGGTTTCCATATATATCTAATTATTTTTAGTCTAATATATCCAAAATTTAAAAAATACAACAAATATGTGCGCGCCTCTGTGCGCAAAAAACGTGGTGCGCAAAAAACAAAACATATTTAAATCACAACGTCTACGACTCAGAAATATTTTTATTTAACATTTTTAAATAAATAAATATCTTTCAATTACACTGAAGATATAGTTTCAGAGTTGTCTCAGTCACGTGACAGTGGAGAATTTCCCACAAAATCCAACCAGTTGTTTACAATAAAAATACTTTCTCCCCTCCCAAAAAAATACTAATCAACAGAGTATGCCATTGTTTTTTGGGAGGTGGGTTTCTTTACAAATATGCCTACCAGACTGAACGGACTGGTAACAACAGAGGGCTGTTTTCAGAAAAAAACTACATACAAAACGTACAACGTGTATACAGCTATACAATAATTCAGGAGCTCCCTGATTAAATATCTGTTTATGTACAAAAGGCTGAACTCAAAGTGGAACAGTCACATTTTCCCCCCTTCTTTCTTTTTTGGCAGTAAAAATCAGGATGAAAATATTTTTCTTAGAGGAGAGGAGTTCACGGAGAGACGGATAGGTCCACGTCCTCCTTGACGGATGAGGATGGAGACACGGGGATGTCGTCGTCCTCCTCCTCCGAGCACCTGGCGGCCGACAGAGAGGAACATTTGCAGCTGTGTGACGCAGTCCTCTGGCCGCCGCCGCCGCTCTTTCCCTCCTTTTTGTGCTTCACCCTGCGGTTCTGGAACCAGATCTTCACCTGCTTCTCCGACAGGTTCAGGTACGTGGCGATCTCGATGCGCCTCAGCCTGGACAGGTACATGTTGGAGGTGAACTCGCGCTCCAGCTCCAGAAGTTGCGTGCTGGTGAAGGCGGTGCGCATGCGCTTGCTGCTCTGAAGTTTGCCGTTGCTGTTTTCTGTTTATTAAAAATGAAAAAAAGAAGGGGGAAGTAATTAGTTAAGAGAATATTGTTAGTGAATAAGATGAGTGRTTTTGTAGTGTGGGAGATTTTTTTTACTCACCGATGGAGATGCAGTGGAACTGCCGCGGGTCTGGCACCGAGTACGCAGCCGGGTAAATCCCCGCTCCATGGCTCAGGTTGACGGCGCTGGACGCGGAGTGCTGCCTGGACAGAGCCGAGTGGCAGTACTGTGAGCTGAAGGGGGCGAAGGACGCCTTGAGGAGCGGCAGCGCGGGTGGGGACGGGTGGAGCTGGGACGCGGCCATGCACAGCGGGCAGAAGCAGAGCAGCCCGGCTTTCCGCGAGTGGCACGAGCTCGGCAGCGCGTGCGGATGGTGCGGCGAGTGTACGGAGTAGGGGAACAGAGGCGGGTTGTTCTCGCTTCCTTTGTCGCTGGCCTCCCTTAGAATTAAAGAATCCACGAGAAAAGACCGCGGCATGTTGGCGAACGTGTTGCTGAGGCGTCGCTGGTTTGCGTCAGTGCGCGCTGCTTCCCGCGAGACGGTGGACAGCGAAGTGGTGCTGAAGGCGCACAGAGCCTCGCCTTTAAATAGGCCTGCCGTGGACTCGGTCCGGCCATGTGACGGTTACGCTGCAAGCGGCCAAGAGCTCTCAATAGGGTTTTGTGCCTTTCTCCAGGCATTCCCACTGCACGCTTCCCCATTATTTCACTTGTTAACTAAATGAACTGCATAATGTAGTCTATTCTTGTCAGCCCCACCCACGCCGAAAGAGGCGGCACTGCCCATTCTCCCTTTTATCATCACTTTCTGTTTATCTGAGCTTAAATTTTGCGGGAGAAAACGTTTGGAAAGTTCATTTTATGAATCTTTAATATCAATCAGAGAGTGAGAACTAAAGTTCATAACTGGAGCATGTCCTCTATCAGTTCATCTCAATGATTTGGGAATGATGGCAGGAACTTGGTGATTTTTTTCAATAAGTTAAAGCCACTGKAAAATGTTGCTCCATTTATTTTAAATCATCTTTAATAGTTTGAAACTCATTTTTGGACGTTTCCTGCTTTTGCGCACTTGTGCGTCTCCTTCACCGGCAGCGCTAAACTCAAACGCAACAGCTGAATGTTAAGTTGATCCATTTTAGGGTTAATGTGTCATTTCTGGGCGCACAAAAAAGGCAGGGACAAGTCATCGCCCGCAGGCAGTGCTGTTAAAGAGCAGTGATTAATTCCTTTGCTCGGGCCCCTGCCGAGTGGAAAAGAGAGGGGGAGAGAATATGTAAAAAATAACCAGGTTTTCACTCTGCGGCCCTTATTGAATGTCATTGTGGAGGGCTTTGAATGAGGGAGAAAGAGAGTCGAATTAAAGTGTGTGACAGCGGCGGATAGACGCAACAAAGGCGGCTCTGTCATGGAGGAGCCTTGCGCGCTGCGCGTAAAAAGCCCCCGCCTCACGCGCTCCGATTGAATTAAGCAATAGGAAAACATTTTCTTTCACTTTAGGCCGTTCTGGACAATATCTTCAAAGGGAGCGGAGTGGGAGTAAGGCAGTAAATAGTGGAGTTTGATTTAACTTTTCCCCTCAACTTCAAAACAATCTTCATTTATCAGGTTTGTTGGCAGATAGAAACTCCTGTTTTTAGTTTTTTTATGTACCTTTCTGCTCTGATGCTCCGAAACCGACACCTGTAATTAGATGGAGCTGTTTGGAACAAATTAGGAGCAGTTACATTTAAAAGAGGCACAATTACTGGGACAAAAACCTGCTGTTTCTCTATAATTTTCCTATTAGTCTTTAATGGCTCACAAACAAATCATTTGTCTTCATTCAGTCTGATTTCTTGAATCAGAGTGTGCCAACACCAACAAGAGGCAACATGTGTCAGAAATGACTCATATCCTTACAGATATAGATGTGTGTGGAGGGCAGCTTGGTGCACTGCTCAACACCAAGCTGTCATCAAAGGCCCTAATTTTCAAATCATGTACAGCAGTCCTCCCGTGGATAGGAATAGAGGTTTTGTGGGTCCTCACAGGGGAGAGGCTCATCCTAATTTGCAATCCCAACTGGAGACTGACAAATAGTTTTGACCTCCCTCTGGAGGCGCCGCCTAGAAGTGCAAAGAATCTCCCTCTCCATATAATCACTTGTTACTGAGACAAATAATTGAGGAAAATAGCCACTCTCACATTCCAGCTCTGTTACATTTCTGCACAGTAAAGCTACATTCAATGGTCACTTGTGAAAATGTATCATCCACATATGTATTTTGTTTCCAAAGCAGACTCATGTTCAGCATACAGCTGTGAGCTGAAGCTTCTTAACAGAAATGTTTGATAGCTGGGAGGGGGGGGGAAGCAATACCCCTCATATTGTAAATTATTTATAAGATATTAAGTTGGAACAATTGCCATCACTCAGTTTTATCCCCGATGATAACACTGACCATGTGTCGCTGCTGAAGCACATTTTCATGGGCTTTTTTACACAATTACACCCAAAGATCTCGTGCCCCGGTGACATAAAGAGAACAGTCTGTTTATGGAGATGTAGTCAATATCTCCTCTTTTTTTTCCTTTCTTTTTTTTGTGATATGAATAATTCATATAAGACACTTAATGTGTACACACACTTAAACACCCACACATCTCTAATACAAATGATGGTTTTAGCTGAGAGTGTAACAGGATTTAAGGTCCCAGTGGGGCTCGGGCCCAGCCGTGGATGGGCGCTGTGACTGTCGACGTGACACAGAGGGCCGGCTGCCCCACCGCCACAATACCCCACCCCAACACTCCTAATCTCCCCCTGAGGCAACATCACAGACTGCACCTCTATGGACACACAAAGGCCTGATTATCATTCATACGCTCAGCAGAAACACCAGTCCAATAGATAACAGATGACACATAAGTACCAGCTGAATGGTGCAATATGTTGAAAGCTGCAGGAGTCTGTGGGGACYAATGAATCCTTGAGAAGGAGATGGACAAAGCCACGCTGCCAGCTGATGGGAGCATGAAGTGACAGATATAAGGCTCCACAGGTGAACTTGGACCTYATGATTACTGTGTTTACTGACAACATCAACAATCAGCAAACGAATTGTTGGTTTTGTATTTAAACAGAGGAAAGGATCATTTGATGACACATATTTAAACTCAGGTTTTATTCAATTAAACTAATTAAAATCAAAGGCCTATCATTCCTTAAAAAGCGCTCATTATGCACATCACCCGCCACCTTTTAGTTTAGACCAGTGGTTCCCAAAGTTGGGGTCAGGACCCAAAATGGGGTCCTGAAACATCAAAGTGGGGTCCTGAAAAGATTTTCTAAATTAATT